GGTGGTGGTGGTGGATTGAGGTGGTGGTTGTGGTGGTAGTGGTGGTGCTGGTGGTGGTGGTAGTGGTGGTTATCGTCGCTGCGTCCCCGCCGTCGCCGGCGCCTGCGCCGGCGCTGCTGGCCGCCGCCAGCGCGGGCGCCGGCGCCGAGGGGAGGGGGTTGAAACCCCACTCCCCCCGTCGGCGCCAGGGGGGCAGGGTGTTTGAATCTTTGGGCTCTTCACGTACGTCACCCACGTTTCCTTCGGCCCGTAAGTACATGAGCGACGGAAGTTGTGTAGTCACCAGCTTTTGCAACGGCAGCGAGGCCACGGCAGGTAACTGTCCATGTGTGCTGACCTATGGAGACGGGTGTGGGAACGGGTGGACGATTTTGGGGGTTATGACATTTAGAGGTCATGTGCTTGTTTGCGACGACCGCCGCTCAGATGATGGTCGATACCACAGACTTGGTAACACATGGGCATGTCATAACGCCATGCTCGGAGCTGCGATACATCCGCAGGATCAGCATGCCAACGACAGGGTGCTTCGGGCAGCCAGCCTCTGGAATTTCGCGTGCTAATACTTATCTCGCACGCTGCCGCTGTCGGCCCGTCTGCAAGCACTGTCTCAGCTCGTGAGGTTGGGACCCCCCACGGATGACGCAGGCTGCCCCCGATATTCATTGGTGATGATGTTGCTCTTGCGGGTCAGCGGCGATGCGTGAGGTGCTTCCGCGTGGCCAAGTCGGCCAAGACGCTTCGGCACGCCCCGTGTCGGCCCACGGTCGGCCAACGCCTTTGGTGTGTCGGGCCTTTCAGTTGTGGCTCTGTCGGACCCCACTCTCGTGACGATAACCAGCTCCTCGCGGCCGACTGCGGAGGACACTGCCCCCGAGGGTCTACGGCGCGTGGACGCCTGGACCGCCTGCGAGGAGGACTCCCCCCCACGCTCTCGGGCAAAATTGCCAGCTGGCCCGGGGCCCCTCGCCCCGTCTGCGTTTGGTGCCTTCGCCCTGGGCGTCAAGCTTGGATACCTTGAGGTTTCCCCAGACTGGCGAGGTGGTCGCAGGCCGAGTCGCCCGCTTTGGGCGTGAAGGCGCCTGCCCGCAAGGTGCACGCCGCTCAGTGGTGGCGCCCGCGGGTATTGATTTCGTGTTCGCGTTGCCCGCCGCCGCGCGCACGCATCGTCGGGCCACATCCCAGTAAAACACTCCTCCTCCTTCTCCTCTTCCTCCTTCTTGTCCTCCTCCTCCTCCGCCGCCGCCGCCGCCTGTTCCTCGTCACCCTCTGGCGGGATTTTTAATTCCCAGGATTTTCAGTAGAGCTGGGCATCCGTGCGTTCGGCTTCGGGCTTCGCCTTGTTGACCCCCCTCCTCGAGGGGTTTCGGGCGTTGCGTAACGGAGGGGGTGATGCATGAGAGGGGGGGGGCGAAGGAAGGTGCATGGTGCTCCAAAGGGGCCCTAAAGGGCCCCCCTGGGACCCAAAAGGGATTGGAACGGTACACGTTCCCACCTCCGTCATCGCCCCATCCTCCCCCATTGCGCAGCGCCCTCCAAACCACCCCCGCCCAACCAGTCCGCAACGCCCGACGTCACCGCCCACCAAACCACCTTAACCCAACCCGAAGGCCTCGATTTGCCCTCCATTTACAGTGTGGGGGTTGTCGGGGAACATGAGCAAAAACACGTGTGGAACCCGTAATCCCCTCCCCAACGCGAGATTCTGGTCTTCGGGTCAGGCTGGGTCGGTCTGGTAGGTAGTCGCAACGAGGGTTCAGCGATTGGGGTCCTGAGGGCGAGGGGGCCTTGCAGCCCAGACGCTGAGACCAGGGCCGGTTTGGGCTCGGTCGGGGGGCGATCGCTTCCCGGCCGGTCCTCTGATTCGGTTCGTGGAGCCTGTTCGTGGCCGAGGCTCGCTGTGACCAGGGAAGCATCTGTATGCCTTGTGTAAGTGTTCGCTTCGCTCACGCCGGCGGCCCATGTTGTATCACTTGTGCTGTCGTTGGTGTGCTCGTTACGAGCGAGAAGGAGGAGGAGGAGGAGGAGGGGAAGGGGGAGGAGGAGAATGGAGATGGGATGATGAGGATGAGGTTTCTCGATCTTTATTTGGGTCTCCTTTGGGGCCAAACTGGGTCGTGGATAAAGCATACCTCTTCGGGAGGCTCCTCTCGGCGGCTTCGTAGTGTTTTTTTCTGACCTCCAGGGGCCTCTTGCGGGGGTCCTTTGCGCCTCCGGGGGCCTTCTTGGAGGCCTGGTGGCGGTCTCGGGGGGCATGTTTCGGGAAAGGGCTCGACATGTCAGTTCGGATTCTTCTTTTTAGGGCGAGCCTCTGGATCTCTCTTGGTCCGTCTCCGTAGCCATTTTGGCTCAAGCCATTTTGGCTCAAGAGCCGTTCTGGCTCAGGGTCTGAGCTTGCGACAGCAGTCTTCAGAGCGGCAGTCGCTGTCGCGTGCCTTTTTGGCTTGTGCAGTTTTGGGGTAGCCAAACCCCGCAGTCTTCTAAGACCTCCGTTGTGAGGCATCCATGGATGGTGCGGTGGTCCAGGGGCCCAAGAGGCCTTTCTGGGGCTGCCAGCAGTGCGGGCTTACATCGAACTGGGCGTGCCGGCTGCGTTGCCGCTGTAGCGCCAGCGCCCCGCAGGCGGTGCTCAAGCGGGTGCAGCAGGATCCTGGCGTTCGCGGTGCTCCTCGCGGCATGTGTGGCGGCGCCCGCCCCCCTGCCGTGGTCTCGAAGCGTGAGCAGAGGCTGGAGAAGCGCTCGCCAAGAGGGTGGAGCAGTTCGTCGCTGGAGGTGCCAAGGCCTCGGCCCAACAAGGTGGGGGAGGCGGTGGACCTGCGGCT